TTTAAAAGGTACTCACATGACAGGAGAGGTGGTGCGTTGTATATGCATGTATTTAAAAGGTACTCACATGACAGGAGAGGTGATGCGTTGTATATGCACGTATTTAAAAATGATATCAGGTGTCTGTAGTGTAAGGGGCACACATAATGACAACTGTGTTTGTGATATGTCCACACAGGAGGGGTGAGAAAGGTTGTTTAATAAGTTGGCAGTTAGGGTTAGTACAGATAAAGGAGGAAAATAAATGAACCATGCAGATCTTTGAGAGAATGTTCCTTTAGAAGAAACTAAATGCAATATTTGATATAAGGAACAGCAAGGAGGCTTAAATGACTGTATCTGGATAAGACGCAAGAAGAGTAGGAGGTGAGGAAGCTGGGTAGCAGAGGACCAGAGCACTGAGACTTGAAGCCATTGGAGGGTCTTAAGCAGAGGTGTCTTGTGTTTTGATGCTGTATTTAAATGTTGCTCCTTTTATTGAGTAGGGTTAATAGCTGTGCAAGGGTGCAAGCAGGGAATAAAAGCAATGGAGATGTTGCTTCTTCAGTAGTTCAGGCAAGGGATGGTTGAGCATATTGTGAAGTGTGTGCTCTGCTGTGCTCATTTATTAAGAAAGATACCTGCCCTGAAAGTGTTTTAGCACAGGTTGTCTTTCTCCACTTCCTTTTATTATTATTATTATTATTATCTTTAATTTTCAAGATAAGGTTTCTGTTTGTAGTCCTGACTGTTCTAGAGCTCATTCTGTAGACCAGGCTGATCTCAAACTCAGAGATCCCCTCTTCCTCTGCCATCTGGGTACTGGGATTAAAGGCGTGTGTCATCACTGCCTGGCTTTTTCTCCACTTCTAGTAGGAAGTTAACTAATATCTATTAGAAGCACCTTTGGCGGGCTCATGGATCAGAGCCAGGGTTTCAGGCTTATAGGAGACAACTTCCTCAAGCTACCCCATTTCTTCCTTAGTTTCCCTGCCTTAATAAACTGTGCAGGCCTATGCAGGAATAATGCTCTTAAATTAGTTTGTGTTCTGAGCCTCTGTGAGTTTCTGAGGTGTGTCACACACATATCACGAGAGTTCTTTTTTTCCTCATAACTATGAAGTAAGACAATGTCCCTCACATTATCCCTTTCTGTCTTGCCTGAACACTTGCCAAATAGATGCATTTGGAGCTATAATGAAAAGAGCTGTTATCCATCCCTTTGTGGGACGGCGTGCTGTGGTCTGCCTCTCTGTGACTGAGCTGGTCTGGACTCTGCAGTGGGAAGGGTGATGTGCAGCACAGGGATGCACTGGTGTAAAGGAGACAATGATGGAGCTTGACTTTTCTGGACGGGTGGCCAGCACTGAGCCAGTGATCAGAGGCTGGAAGAGATGGGGCTGGAGAGAGAAAAGGGAAGTTAAAGGGTGAGTGTGAAGATGTAAAGGAAATCCTACCTCCCCCACTGTCAAGGATCAAGAGTGAGGTCTGTGGCCACCGTTTTATTCAGTACAGTGCAGGAAATTCTAGTCAAGACAAAAAACAAGAAGCAAAGGCATACAGTGGAAAAAAAACAGTGGAACTGTCCTTCATCCAGAATTCTACAGATCTGCACATGCATGAAGACATGCACACAGAACGTAGAGGATGCAAGTAAGCATGCTAAAATCCATGGCAATTCTCTGTCCTTAGCCACGAACACATGGATATCAATGATAGAAACACAGTAGCACTTTACTGACACTTAAAATAGCTATTTTATGCATAAACTTTACAGCTCATTTTGATTTATTTTTCACTTCAATTTTGGTAGAATTTTAGCAGTTGTTTTGTTCTTTGAAATAGCTCTTTCCCCATGGTTTTCATCTACTTTCCTATTTTAAATTTCATATCAGGCTTGGCAGCCAGCGCCCTTATCTGTTGAGCCTTCTTGCGGGCTCCTTAGCTGATTTGTTTTCTCATTGTTACCTGAAGGCTCTCCTCTTCTGCTAACCCTGCTCACTTCTCGTCACTCACGCTGTTGTCTTCCTGGTTTGTGGTAGGATAAGTGATTGTTAGTTGAATACTGGACATAAAAATGTTTTCAGTCTTTTCAATCTCTGAGTCTTATGCAAACTCTATGCTGGGTATACTTTTGTGGCATTACTCCAGCTGGGAACCAGTAGAATTTGAACTCCCGTTCCCTACCCAGCTTTTGTCGACACCCAGTCGCAGGAGTGGCTCTGCATTGCTGCTGGGTGGATTCAGTTCCTGCTCCCCACACAGACTCCATTGCTTGGTGACTTTTTCCCGTTGGGTGACAGTGAAAAAGTCTTGGTGGTTCTGTTGACCTTCTTAGTCGGTAGGACAAAGGGCAGATGGTTACTACTCAGCTCAGGTGTTAGTCCAAGCTCCCGTGGTCTCCATGGCAACACTGGATGGTGTGATGTCCACAGAAGGCTGAAAGTCTTCACTGCACACTTGGTCTTGTCTGATCACTGTGGCAGAGGTCCTGTGCTTTTGTTTTGTAAAGTTGCATAAAGGTGGGAGTGTGGATTGTCCTCTCAGTCCTATGGAATGCGTAGGATGGAGCTGCGGGTCCGTGCATTCCAGCTGCCTAGCGACCTATAAGTCAAACTGTAAAATACAATGAAATACAAATATATGTATAACATAGTTATGTACGTATCTATTTTCTGTTCAGGTAGCCTGCCCCTGAGATAGTGAACTTTTGTAATTCTCACTTTCCTCTGCTTATGGATCCTGCCTGTAAAACTGGACTGTTTCCCAAGTTTGCTCAATGCAGAGGGGTTTGGAGTGGACCTTGGCTTCATACTCTTACTGTGAAAAACAGTGATTAAAAAAAAATTTCTCAGGTGATTCTGACTCATAGCCAGTGTTGAGAACTCGTGACCCAGGCTTTGGAATTGCATAGTTGCTTGTGGTTCATGAGATGTTTTAAAGAAGAATACGGAGTTAGATATTGCTACATGGTTTAAGGAAAAAAATACTGTTTTCTCTATATTTTTCATAAAGTATAGACCAAAGCGTCTCCAGAGTGAGACTGAGGAGTTCTAAGGGGCAGGCTGTTTTCCTTTTCTGCTCTTGCCTTGGATTCCTGAAGTCTGCTATCCCTTTAATCTGCAGACTTCTACATGTGTCTTTTTTATTACTCACTTTCACATTTTCAGAGGTTCCACTTTATTCTTCATATAATTTTCATTATGAAGTAGTTTTAGTTTTTTTATTCTAATTTACATTGACTTTCTGTTAATAGTGTTTTGCTAAATTTTATTTATGTGTTATATTGCTCTTGGACCAAGGCCTCATTTATTTATGGCAGTCGTGTGCCTCAGAACTAGTTGCTGTTTTCTTCAATTCAGTCCCAGGATCTGGTCTGACCCTCGCACGCTCAGTTTCAGTGCAGCTCATTGGTCAGTGTGGGGCCACAGGCCTTTGAAAGCACCTTCGTAAATCCTACAGCTTCTACCAAATACGGCCAGAGGTTGAGTGATGGCTTGTTTACAGTTGGTTCAATGTTTTCATATTTGCTGTTTTGCTAACTTCATTTACTAGTGTACCTTCTATAATACTCAGGCTCTGTACTTTAGTGTTAAGCTGTGACGCTTTTTTTTTTTAATTTGACAGGATGATTTTATGCCAAATGATAACTTTGAAAGTGGAGCTTCTGTTCCTAGGTGATAAGTCTGGTTCCTGGAGTCTTTGCCCAGGTGCTCTGCTGTGGAAGGCCCATGACCACTCTACACCCTTCCACGGGAGCCTGTAACTTTCCCCTCTGGATCATGTTCTTCATACTAAGATCTCAGCCTGCATGTTGTGGAATCTGCTCACTTCCCAAGGGCTGCCCTTGTGGTGGTGGACTGCACTAGGCTGGTGCATACAGGAGATAACTCTTGCTCGGGGCCTGGGGAGCGATGGAGCAGTGGGACCGTTAGTCTAGGAGGGCTGAGACTCCCAGCGCCCAGGCCGCATTGTTTGCCCTGTGACCCACGATGGAAAAGGGAAGCCTGATGGTAGGTGTGGGTTCAGCTTCACTGTGGACCGACTGTGTTGTTCCCGTCTGGTGAAATGAAAGCTTTCTGATCTGTCTGTAGTACTTCATAGTTTTGAACTTGTCCTAGAAACTTGTCAGGTGATGCCGAGGCTACTAGTGACGAGGACCCATTTGTCTCTCTGATCTTCTGGTCACATCATGTGACAGTTGGTGAATCTTTCCATCTGTCTTGTTTGCACACAACTTGGATTTGCCTTAAAGTAAAAGCATTTGCTTCCAGGTTTTCCTGCGTTTCTGGTGTTTTCTATAATTTAGAAATTAGACCTAAAGTAGCATGACTTCAGAGTAGATACTAGAGGCTACAGGACTAATGGTACCATATGAGAGCGGTTAGTTTGTGGAAAGGACCAGAAGGCTTTCCTCACTTGAGCTTCGTCTGAGGAACAGCCCCAAGCCAAACCCTGGGAGAAGTGCCCGGCCAGTGTCAGCCTTAGCAAGGCCAGGTGCCCCTGGCTGGCTCTGGAGCTTTGTCTGCCCTCAGCGTGCACTGTAGGAGCTGCTGAGTGGGAGTGAGGTTTGCTTCTTCTCTTTCCACACTTGCGTTTGCATTTTCTTTCGAACTAGCACATTAATGTTTGCATGGCTAGAACTTTATACCTGGACTGTCAACATCTTTTGTACACAAAGATCTAGCTCCAACCGTCTCACTTGTAAGAAAAGGAAACACTGATTGCAGTTAGGAGGCCTGTATTTCCCGCCGAGGTCCAGTTTTAGCTTCATTTATTGTTTGTTCATTACCTGTGTGCTGTTGAGTCTTGCACACAGCTTTTCTGTTCCTTGTAGTTCTCCCCTCTCCTCCCAGCTCTTGCTCTTGTATCCGCAAGTCTCTGTTGGCCTGGCTGCTCCTGTACATCCATGGATGAGCTGCCTTTGCTCAGATGTGGTGTTGACTCCTTATGCGGAGATTGTAAGTCCACGCAGGACAGCTTCTTAGTGAAGCCTTTTCTACAAGTCCGAGCTCTACTGGGGTAGAAGAAATGAAGCACATTTATTTTTTTACTTCTTCAGAATACTTGTGATCAGGGAAATTAAAAACAAAGCAAAAAATACCCCCCTAATGATAGGTTCAGAATGTAGTTAAGCAATATATTGTGTAGAAACAAGCACAGGATAATCATATAATTTATTGTCCTAACATTCTTCAATCAAATGGTGTTAGAGATAAGATAAATTATATGGCTCTAATGTGTGTCTGCTATTTGGTTGGTGGCAGGGATGTCTAAGGTTTGCCACCGATTATCAACACTTTCTATAGCAAGGGCTTATGACTCATCAACTTATACAAACCCTAGAGACCTTTAAGAGGATCCTCAAGGTTGGTCGAACCCAGAAAAGACTGAGAAAATCTATTAGTCTGCTATTGGTTTTCTAAAAAGTTAAAGACAGAAATGGAAGATATAGTGGTTTTCTTGGAGACATTTTGAGAGACTTATTTATTTGAACTGTATGCTCAGTGTTCATGCTTACTTAGTGCTTGTTTGTAAGTATGATGTGACATTTATATTCCCTTTATGATAGTACTGGGTAAATAAGAGTTAGAGTTAAGCTTTTTATCCTTGGGCTTCTAATAGCTACTGCCAGGTGAGCCTTAAATGTTAAGATTATCTGATGATAAGGGTGCAGCTTATTGGCTCAAAGTTCAAAAGAGAGCATTGGCTTCAAGGACATAAATCACTGGGCTGTTATCTCTAATTTGTAACAGAACAGCATGGAGCAACGTTTATCTAGACAATCTAGTATCTATCTGGAGGCTGAGGTCAGCTCTGTGGGCTTAGGCCTTTGAACCATTCTGCAAGAAGAGTTTCAGATTTACCATTTTCCCTCTAACACGAACAGGTGATTGAGTGTCCTTTCTGAAGCTACTGTTTGTTTTGTCTAATCTCAAAGATTCACTATGGAGTCATCAGAGATGAATCCAGTTATTGAGAGACAGGATCTCATGTGTTTGTTTCGTATGTTCATTAATTTTTCTCTCCAAGTTGATTGTGAGTTCTATGGGTTCCAGATAGTATTTTAGAATTTGTAATATCAAATCTTACAAAGTCACATACTTAAAGGGACCATTAGGTAAAGTAGATGGTTGAGTGACCAAGTGAAAAAGCCTTACCAAGAGGAAGATGTAGACGTCCTGGTTTAAATCAGCCTAATGCCGAGAGATTCTTACCTTATGGGTAAGCTTGACATTGTCTAAACAAACGCGAACAAAACAAAAGAAGCCCAGTGCTATTGCATGGCCAGTGACCTGTCAGTTTGTAACTTCTGAGCCACAGCATCAGCTGACTAAATAGAAAACAACCTTAAAAGTATTTGATTTTGTACGCTTATTTGGCTTTGCAATATTAATATTGGCTATTCTGTTTTTGAGGAATAATCCCAGGTGTAATGTGATATAATACCTAAGAATGTTCACATCTGTTAAAGGATAGGCCTTTTTATTTTTTGATTTAATTTATTTTCTTTTTATAAGCATTTGCCTGCCTGTATGTCTGTGCATCATGTACATGTCTGGGGCCCACGGAGGTCCCAGGACTAGAGTCTCCATCATCTGGGAGCCTCCATGTAGGAGCTGGGGATTTTACACGAGTCCTCTGCAAGTGTTAGATTCTGAGCCTTTTCTGCAGTCCCAGCTTTACCATTTCCAAGGGCACGGTTCTGTTGAACCTGCCCTCTCTCCTTCCCCTCGCCTCTCTCCAGCAGCTGTCCCTTGAGCTGGACGTACTGCATCCTGGTGATTGGATTTGGCTTTTCCTAATGATTAGTGACTAATGCCTTCCATGTGCTTACTAGCATTTTTGTTTCTTCTTTGCAACAATGTTTATTTAGCCCTTTACCTATTTTAAAATTGGGTTGTGTATATTTTTGAGGATTGAGTTGTAGGGATCTTTTATGCCTTCTAGCTTTCATTTGTTCTATGTAATTCTGTACTCTTGGTTGCCTTTTTGCTCTTGTGATGGTGTCCTTGACGCACAAAGCCTTAAGTTTCTAGGAAGTCCACCTTCCTTATTTTTTCTTTTATTGCCTGAACTTTTGTTCCATACAAGAAGTCATTGCCGTGGCCCTTTCCTCATATGTCTTCTTCTTACAGTTTTATGGTTTTAGCTCTCGGGGCTAAGTCCTTGATAATTTTGAATTTCACTGTAGTGTGAACTTCGTTTCTTTCACGTATGCATAGCCAGTCTCCCTGGTGCTGCTTGCTGAGAAGACTTGGTGTCAGTATTCTTTCTCTCATGTTTGGTTGGATGGGCTTCAGTTTTGCTAATGGCCAGCCGCTGCCTTACGAAGTCCTAAGTCTTTCTGTGCTTTCTTCTCCACTGAGAAATTGGAGGAAAGACTTGGCAGGTCTGTTTGCTGACAGTAGCATCACCATTTGTCATGTTTTATATCTTCTTAGGTTTTTTTTTTTAGATTTAATAATCATATTTGCCTGTTGAAACTTGGAAACATCATGGTACTTTTCTGATGTTTTAAATGACAGCCTTGTTTGTAAATCTGAAATTTCATTTTAACGCTTCTCTAAATTTAGGTTATGATTCTGTAAAATGAAAGAATCGGACTAAATATCCTGTTGTATATCTTTTACTGTGAATGATTTCAAAATACTTATATATACCTTTTTGCCAATTAATAAAAATCCAGTGCACAGTAGGAGCTCTGTCTTATGCAAGGAATACATTAAAACTGACACAGTAGAACATGTTTTTGTGTAACTCTATAGCTGTTATCTTTTCTTCATATGTGGACAGAGTTTTGTCATAAATATTTTAAATTTCTTTTAATAATAAAATTCTTAGTTTCTAAAAGTTATAATTTCTAGCATTACTACCTCTGTCTTTTTTATGCATAAAGCAGAATAGCCATAGTTTAATATACATAACAGTTGCATCTGACAAGAGAGACCAATCTATAGCAGAGGGAAAGGTGTGGGGGTGCATTCTGAAAGTGAAAGACTTCCTAGACCTAGAAAGTGAGAATTTTAGGGTGCTGCTTGTGAGTGTCTCTCTGTGTAAGAGGCTCAGGATTGTATGTTGTATGTACATATTATGGTTGTTAAAGGCCTTTTATTTTGTCATCTCATTTATGGTGTTAATTGTATAATTATATAAATTTACATATCAAATATGAGTAATTTTTACCTGCTCTAATTCATTTTATTTCACAAAATTTTTGTTACTGCTATTTGCCCTTTGTGTTTTTTATAGCATGTGGGAATGAAAGTTATTATTTATTGCGTATATTATTCTTTTGTTTCCTTGGTTTTGTTTTCTAGTATGGAACTTGGAAGCAATGGTTAAGAGACTGAGAGAAGGAGACTTTTTCATAGCTTTTCAATTTTGAACTATCTGAATGCATTATCATAGCTATTAAATATTTAGCACTTAGCCTGTTTCTGATAAATTGAAGTGTTATATTTTAAACCCTTTTCATTTAGAATTAGACAATCCAGTATTCAAGTCATAGTAATTTTGTTTATGCTGAAGTAATTTGAAGTAATTTGAAGAGATGCAGATTAGATTACTGCTGGCCCTTTAGAACTGAACTAGGAAGTAAGTCTGGCACACAGTAGCAAGGTTTGGAGACATATCTTTGGTAAAAGGGCTATAAATGCTCCTCCTTTGGAGATAGATTCAGAAATCACAGATAAAATAAACGGTGCGCTCAGTGAGCTGCAGCTCAGGGGAAGGGTCTGGTGGGAACGACTGCGTTAGCAGAGGTGATGGGGCTCCCATTGCCGTTGTGGGGCTTCCTGTGCTTGTCCTTACTGTTTAAATTTAGACTCTGACAAGATAGAAAGCTGCCTCTCCGGTTGTCTTCCTGTGTGCTTACCGTGTCCTTTGCATGTTTCATCTCCATTAGGCTATTTTTATGATTCCCACAAACCCGCCACCAACATTCAGGAAGCCTGAACTTTGGTCTGATGACTTCACCGATTTTGTTAAAAAGTGCTTAGTGAAGAGTCCTGAGCAGAGAGCCACCGCCACACAGCTGTTACAGGTCAGTGCCGACACGGAGGTACTTCTGGCGGCTACTGGATGCTGACAGTCACGGCTGCAGTCTCGTGACCACCCTCGAAGATCTGAAACCTGGGTTGGGACACATGTCTTCAACTCTTCTGCATTTCTCTTTGTCTCCCGTGTTCCCAGTTCATCTTCTTCCTTTTCCATTCTCTCCTCTCTTGAGTTCTTGTCTCTATAGGTTTTATTTCCCAGGCTTTTCCTTGACTCATCCTTTCTCCCTGAACTTTTTGTTCCTCTCTAATATATGTAATATATATATATATATATATATATATATTTTATATGTAATATATGTAAATCCAAGGTCCCTGAATGCCTTGAAAAGATGTTTACGTAAGTGAAGTTTTAATATCCCTACTATAAATAAACTTTGTATCCAGAACACCAAGAGGCTGTTTAAAAATCTTAGAAAATTTAAAGCAAAATGAAATAACTTAATACTTGTAATTAATGAGTTTTTAGAACTTTTTTCCCTCAACAGAATTTCCTCAGAACTCTCAACTGATAAGTGTGCCTCACAGTGTGTCTCTCATTAACAAATTTGATAATTTTCAGATGCTTCTTACTGTTTAATGATAAAAGAATTCAAACAACAGTCCCTAGGCTACGACTAAGCATAAACTAACCTGACTAAAGGCCCATGAAGCTCTGTAGTGCTTATGAAAATCACACAGGGCTTGCTCTTCATCGAAATCAGGATTGCAGTATCTGTTTTTAAAAATCTGTATATTCTTTGTTCCAGCAATTTCATTTTAACAGTTTATTATGAAACATTAACCATGTATGAAATTATATTTGAATATGGTCCACCAAGAGGAGTTATTACACACACACACACACACACACACACACCCCAGTGCCATAAAGAAAACTAGTTACTCAGTGTCCCCTTGGGCAGGTCATTGCAAGGGTAAGAGGCAGGAATGGGATGCAGATTTATTTGAGTTTTGAGTTATGTTGAAGTATCATTTTAAAAATTAATTAGTTAATGATTAAGATGACAGGTTTGGGTCAATGAGATGCTCTCAGCGTGTGAGACACTAGCTGGTGAGTCTGGCTGCCGTGGCGGGAGGAGAGAACAGATCACCCAGTTTCTTCTCCCTCCTCCCCGTGCTGCTGCCACCCATGCACTGCTCCTCTCCCAACAGACAAGTGTGGGTTAAACACGAAAGGAAGAGGGCCCTGAGACCACATGGGGGAAGAGAAGACCAACCCGCACAACACTAAATAAAAACATAATAAAATATTTTTAAACTAAAAAATTGAGAAACAGTAAATTTCATGTCAGGTTTATTTTCCCATGATAAAAATGAAAAAGCAGTTGATCAAAACATTTATTTTGAAAGAGTATTAACTTTCCACGAAAATGTTAAGCAAGCAAATCAAGAGCTTCTTGATATCATTGTCACAATGAACATGGGAATGATTCAACACAGAAGAAACAATAGGAAGGGAAGATCTGAAAAGAAAGCAGAAAAAGTAAAACACCATGAAATCTGATGGTAAAAATAATGTATCTGGCCCTGATTTCTTTTCTTTTAAGATAAACTTATTTATTTCTAGTGTTCCCTTCTAGGGTAAAAAAAGAAAAAGCTTTGTTTTTAAGTTAAGAAGGATGGAAACACTTAAACTATGTCAGAATAATTCCTTATTTTTGTGGAGAAGAGTATTACAGCCCAGTAGAATTAAATGACTCACTGAAGATACCATAGTAAGCCTGTGATTATTCTAGATAGATTCCATTTGTTCTAGCCCTATTCTTTAAAAAATATTTTAATTAGGTTTATTTATTGTATGTGGTGTGGGCATACATGTAAGCCACAGCACACCCGTGGCGGTCAGAATACAACTTGTGGGGGCTGGCTCTCTTGTACTGTGTAGGTTCCTGGTTTAAACTCAAGGTTTACCCACTAAAGCTGCATTGCCAGGCCTAATCCCACTCTTTATTCCTTCTGCCTTTCTCCAGGAATGGCAGATTAACTGAGGTCCCCCCCCCCCCCCCGCTAACAGAGTCAGCCCCCAGGCCTGGCTGGAGCATGGTGCATGTGACTCGCTTTTGCCAGTTCCAGTGAGACAGAGAACACCCTTTACCTTCCTGTGTGACCCCCATTGTGCTGCAGTCACCTCAAATATGCCCTCTTTGTAGTTGAGAGCCACATCAGTCCTGTGGTATGTGCTTTAAATGTAAAACATAATTGAGGAAACACACAAGAATTTATTGACTTACTGTATTTTTGTTCTCCCGTTCTTAGTTTTCCTGATATCCCAAGGTTCCTTCCACCATTTCCCTTATTTACAGAAGTACTTTACACACACTTTTAGAAGTTTGTGGTAATTCTCTTAGTAATATTATGGATTGGCAGTTCATTTCGTTGCGTTATGTGAAAATGCATAGTTAGGGACCCCACGTGTTTCTGTTGGGGGAGGCCGCAGACCCCTCTCTGGGCTCCGGTTTCTTAGGAGGGATGGCATTTGAATAGTTTACTCCTTCCTGTCCAGTAGTTTTTGGGTTGGGGTTGGTGTGGCATCTAGAACATGTTACTTTAAGCCCTTCTCCCAAATTATGAAAACTTTTTCAAATATGTTTTCAACCTCACCTTGTTTTTTTTTATTTCTTGACGCAGGATCAGATCCTGTATCAGCCTGACAAACCCCAAGGCCAGAGGCTGTCACCCTACCTCTTAGCTGTACTCCCCACCGCCCCTCTTTACTGTATCCCATCACCCCCTTTACTGTACTCCCCATCACCCCTCTTTACTGTACTCCTATCACCCCCTCTTTACTGTACCCCATCACACCCTTTACTGTACC